TAATGCACCAAATATTTATGAAGTTGCTCTTGTTGTAGTAAAAAAAGACTTGGGATTCTGTGATATTCTTTTACACCGTCTGAATGATCAATTACAACGTATAAAGGAAACACACCGCTCATATGATGCACTACAAAATCCTATTATATTTTGGAAAGGTAAAGAAGGCTATGATTACTCAATAAAAATAATAAATCCCATTACAAGTAATTAAAACATTATTTTAGGTATGGTTATAATATCATAGTCACTATATTATGTATATTAATTTTAAATTTTAATTATTGAAACAATATATATTTACAGGTTCTAAAACCAACAAAAAAGTCAGTTCAATGAACTATTATTCATACTGCCTAATGATTCGGGAAAATAAAGACAATCACATACTGAAATGTCGGCGTTTTTATCACAAATATGTTGTTGACATTTATGTTAAAATTGAAACGGAGAGATTAACATTCATCAGGTTGAATCAAACCAAACTGCGATCTAAAGAGTACATTCACCTTCGAGATGCGATTAATACTGCTGGAAATGCACAGGATGTTGGTCGGATGACTATTCTTCCAGCAACATACATCGGACTCCCTCGACATATGCACGAATATGCTCAAGATGCCATATCGTATGACTTTCAATCATAATGATATGACTCAATACACTTCAAACATTTTACTTTTGTAGGCAATTTGAGCCTTGGGTGAATCGAATTCACAATAATTCAATAAAGACAAGAAAACCAGTTAAGGTACGGTACAGCTTAAAAGCAAATGACTACCACCTAAGTTAATGTACAATTACATCAATAATAAGCCGCCACAATAGTCTGAGTCAATCACCCTCAGTTGTACTGAGCAACTGGCTGGACTTACATGATCGGCTTCAGTGACTTATCTGGACGACGACTCGTTCCGGTACAATGCTGCAAATCATCTGGACTCTGCGGAATCCGACCCCTGTGTTTAGGCTGGCTGGAATTTACTGGATACCTGCCCTTTGGAAGTCTGGATTGACCATCAGGATACGGAAGTCTCCTGTAGTTAAAGACACAAATTTTTTATGCCAGATACAGTGCTCATAATAGTCTTGCAGCGTTGACTTAATCGGACTATGACAATCTGTCTCAGCTGACTTATATTGACTTTTATAAAAACCACTGTAAGAACAAAGTCATTGGCAGAGCGACTAATTCAGATGCTTAGTTGTCTTCAGGAAGCCTCTGGGCTGAGTGGCGGCAGTCGAGCTGGTCGGCGCGTTCGTAGCGTCGGTTATCCCCTCTTCTAGCACGTGCAATTCTCCCGCTCTTCTTCGTTGGTACTTCGCCTAGCGTTGGAGGGCAGAAACTCCAATCGAGGGCATAAGTTTTTATCGATAAAGACTTTGAGAAGCCCAAGACATATCTGATGCTAGTAATTTGCCGTTGGTCGAGCCCAACACTTCACAGTCTCCCCCGTTCAGCGAGACCATAAGGTTTTTCCTCTTGGAGATGTGGTCCAAGTTGGAAGCCATGCCAGTCAGGTAACTGGTGATTGACTTTCGACTTGTGGCTTATCAGATGTGTCTTGTTTTCTCTTTCGAATAGAGAACAGGTTTGCAACATAAAGATAGAAAAGTACATAGATTAGAAGGTAAATATTTTAAAGCATCAATCAAGAAGAAGTTTAAGATATAGTCTGGAGTAAGAATCATGCTAGAATTTAAATGTTGTTAGGCAATGGTTCTTTTGACTACTAGGGTATGACTTATAGTACAAATGATTTGATAGGACTCAAGGTTTTATTTTATGACATGAACCTTTTTTTCAATGAACTCATTTTTGGACTTATAACAATTTGTATGCTGACTTACAGATTGAACTTCATAACAAGAGTCTAACTACTTTAATTGAAATTCAAGTAAAAATTTGAGCAAACAGTTATTATGATTATAATGTAGAATACAAACATAAACATTCAATATCCGTACATACATTTTGACTTACATAGTCTGTCGTCTTATGTCTATTTGTACCATTAGTTCTATTGATTGACACAATGATTCTTGCTTAATATTATCTCTTTGATAAGTATTCAATTCTCTTTGATAGGTATTTGATTCTCTAGATCGACTACGCGGTTCGAGATGATTTTTATTCTGGTAGTCCGGCCGACCGGGACGTCGGTGTCTTTTGTAACACTCTTCCGTCTCTACATCTGAATGTCCGCAACCCCAACAGATATCTTGTCTTAATACTTCTGGGCACAAGTGTAACGGTTGATTAAAAAAATCATAGTTAACGCAAATTGGGTATCTTTGCGAATCTAACCTTTGAAGTTTTAAGAGGGTATGTCTGATGGTGTCTCTGAATCGTAGTCTATCTATGGTCTTTCGTATGTGGCCGAGTTGTGCGAGCACGGCTGCATCTGCCGCTGTGAATTCTTCAGTGATGTACTTACGTTGGAAATATAGCGAGTAATTTGCACGAGAAATATCGTCATAGTGATGAGGATGATTATCACGCTCAGCCGCATTGAAGTAGAAAATACTGTATTGGGACGGTATGCCTTGCGGCCGAAGGACGGAATTGAGTACCTCGCCCCTTCGGGCATAACTCTGGGAAATTATAACACTACTATCTTCGCGATAGCATTCCCCGGGACGCGTATGCCTGCACTTGGAACAGGCACAGGGATACACGTAACAAGGCACAGGGCTTGGAATTTGGCCTCCCGTAGTACCAACTTTCTCCGCTTTGGTCGGCGGTCGCTAACGCGTCTCGCGCTCGGCGTGTTCAACGCGCCTCCATTCAGACTGCCATATAGAGCAGTACGAAAGTAGGGTACGACGGATTATAGTCTTATCTGCCCCACGGATTATAGTCTATCTTAAGAGCAGAGACATCTATGCAACCCCGGGGGCCCCGTATTGGGACGGTATGTCCGAGATCGGTAGTGCTGCTCGATACCTCGTTCCTGTGGACGAGTGAAGTATAAAGCGAGTTTTCTCATAGTATATATTGAGGTCTTGTTCTAATGTACTTAAATAACAAGGAAACTTTAATCCGTAGACTTAAGAATTAAGGTAAAGACGTAAACGTGCGTCACGTGGTATGGAGTAAAATTCTCGACTTACGTCCAAGTCTGAACCTTGTCGACTGCTTCTAGAATGTTTGAGACTTTCACTTTTTTCACTTCAGAGATATGTGATGTAGAGTAGGCTGGTGGAGGTGGAGGAGTCTAGGCTCCGACTAGTACCCGATGCTCTTAAGGTAGAAATAGGTGAATCGGTTTCGAAGGCAGGTAGTCATAGGCGCGGAGCTGGTTGACTTTTATCGCATCCGACTAAGCAAATAGAGAGCTCGTTTAATTCTATACGTCTGGATTTACTCGACCTATCTATAGGATAATCTACAGCTAATGGTGTACGGTTTTCTTCTTCTTCTGACTCTGATGACTCGTGAGGTGTCGTGTTTTGTGTTTTAAATCCGTGTAGGCGTCACAGCTCGCGGAGCATACGCACAATCTCACCTTTATGTCGTGAAGTTGATGGTAAATTGGACCTGAAAAAGAAAAACAAGGCCAGTCCAATCACTTAGTACGATATTTGTGGGAGTTAACATGGTATAGACCCACTCGCTTCCCTTCCGCATCATGAAGAAGTGCCAATTGTGGCCGAAGAAAAGATTCTATGAAGGTTGGTCCTACATACTTTTTCGCTAATTTAGCAGAATAGCTTGTAGCTGCTTCGCTAAGTTTCTTGTTAGGATAGTAAACTTCATCACCGATTGCTAATTTTCGCAAAAGTACCGGTTGGATGTAAGGTTCAATCGTACTTCGCTCTACTAATTGATGCAACTCGTTTAATCTCTCGTTTCGTTGGACTATTGAACCTGTACTTGGAATTATGTGGGTATTATCGACTTTCTTAGACTCAAGGGGGTTCTTTGAACTTCTTCCAAACATCAAAAAGTAAGGAGTGACTCCTGTTTCAGAATGTAATGAAGTGTTATAGGCATATTCTAACTCAAAGAGATTTTCATCGCATTCTCTATGATTCAACTCTTCTAGGAATGAAATGATCATAGGTTTTGTAGTGCGGTTGACTTTCTACAGGATTCGCCTGTGGCTGGTCAAGAGGAGTATTGGTGAATTCGATATTATATTCTTGACTCAATTGTTGAACTGACTTGTTAACGTATTCTGTACCATTATCAGTTATTATTTGGTCTGAAATACCAAATTGAAATATTACCGAGCGAATGAATCTATCAACCTCTTTCGCAGTGTTGTTTCTGACTCTATCAATGCGAATGAACTTCGCATATCCAAGATGACTATAGCATATCTATTTTGATGTTTGGACCGAGGAAATGATCCTGTAGTGTCAATTGATAATATAGACCATGGGTTTGTTCTTGGTTTTTTTCCTACATAGTTGACAATTTTCATCTGGCGATATTTAGATCTAAAACATACTGAACATTCTGATACATACTTTGGAACGATTTCTGTTAAGCCAGGAAAGAAATAGTGTTCCCTCACTCTAGCTTCAGTCTTGGTAATTCCCATGTGACCTGCAAGCTTGTCATTACGGAACGCAAATAATATTTTCTGGATACTAGGTTCGTCTGGAGGTACTTTTTTCCAATAATTTTCCTCAATGGGAGAGGTAAGGTCATTGACATAAAAAAACAATTCGTTATTAACCATTTTCCATGAAGGATATTTCTTAGGAAATTTCTTGACTTGATTATAACGATTCTCGTACTACAGATTGTGAGGAATACGAGATTTTTCTTAAACTTTGTCCTGACTATCAAAATTTAATTTTTCACCAACTGACTCCATTAATAATGCATATGAGAAATCAGGAATGTCTTGGTATGCTATTCGAGAATGTTTCTTATGATTGGCTGACTCATCGATATCTTCAAAAGCCCGTAACAAAGCATTAGGTGCTTCGTTCGCGGTCCCCCTATAGTAAACAATCGTTATGTCGAACATTGATAATAGCAATGTCTATCGAGCTAATTTATCTTTTAAACTAGTAGCTGTCATCAATGATGTTAAGGCTGAATGATCAGTAAATACGGAGAATAGAACTCCTTCTAGGAAATGTCTAAGTTTGCTAACTGACCAAATGACTCCTAAACACTCTTTTTCTGATGTATGGTAATTTCTTTCAGCTGGTAGGAAAGGTCTAGAAATACAAGTAATTAAATACTTAGTATCTTTCTCTTTATCATACTGGACCAGTACAGCACCAATCCCAGTATCGCTGGCATCAGTATACAATCTAAATGACAACTTAGGATCTGCTGGAAACAGTGTGGGAGCATCTATTAATGCTTGTTTCGACGTTTCGAATGACTTTTGAGCTTCATTTGACCATTTCCATGAACTCTTTGGACTACACAATTTATTCAAAGAACCTTGAATGTCCGCGACCATTTTTAGATGTCTATGATACCGATTTACCATACCAAGAAATCGACGAAGTAGTTTGGTGTTAGTTGGTACAGGAGAATCAAAAATAGGTTGAATCACTTTACTGTTTATGTGAACTCCATCTTTATCAGTTATGAAACCTAGATATTCAATTGGATTCTTACATAGTTTACGCTTATCAACATTCAATTCAAAACCTTGCTCTTTGAGAACTGATATTAATGTCTTAAGTAAAATAGCATGATCTTCCAATGTTTGACTCACTACGACCCAGTCATCTAAATACACAAATATGTGATCTTCAACAGATAAGCTAATATTCATTTTTGGTAGTTTTTGTTGGACTAATCCTCGTGATGTGCGCTAGTCTGGAGTATGTGGTGGGTGCTCCAGTTAACCCGAAACCCACTTATACTGACTACGACCTTCCACATGGAAAGCTGTGTAGTCTTGGACAATGGATAACGAAACTTATAGGTTCTAGCATTAAGACCTCTATAATTTACACATAATCTCCAACGACCATCTTTCTTTTGGACTAACAGTGGTTCACTGCTCGATGTACTATCACATCTAACAATGTAACTCTTTTTGATTAAATCATCAACTACATCTTGTAGGACTTTGATTTTGACTTTACTTCGTTTAAATGGTTTTCGGAGATAAGGTTCTACATTAGGTTTAATGTGTATTTTGTGTTTGACTTATTTACATAACCCTTCAACTGCACCAGTTTCAGTATCTTCAATTTGTTTATAAATTTTAGTTGCTACTTGGTGAGGATCAAGTTTAGCAAGACTCGTATTATTTCCACTGACTTCAAGTTTAACAATCTTTACTTTATCAGATTTGATTTGAGCAGTATAATTTAGGGATATTGGTTCAGGAGGAGGATTATTAGATTGCATTAATAGAATCCTTAATTGGGAGATAGCTTCTTTATCACGAGGTAAATATGTTTGTATTATTTCACTAGGATGACAATATTTTTCAACAAATAGAGCTACCATATGGTTACCTAATGACCAAGTATCATTAGTGAAATTCATTACCATCTAAGCTTTACGACAGAAATCCATTCCAAGGACAACGTCATCACGTAAATGTTTGACAGCGTATAACCATATTGGAACCAAATTTTCACCAATTTGCAATTTAAGAATTGCACCAAACTGAAATGGAAAAGACTCACTACTTGCTGTTACTATGCTACCATTCATATCCGCCCAAAGTTTAGAATATTGAACGATTTGTTTAAACAATTCTAATCTCATGAAACTTCTCTGTGCACCAGTATTTAATAAAGCTGGTATTTTTCTCTTAACTATGTGAATTGAACACTCAGCTTTGAATAAACGCGTTTCTTGTGGAGTAGTTTCTGGGGTTTTATTTATTATTACTGATAAATTGTCTTTAATTGGTCTTTTACTTTGTTTAATAATTCTAGTACATTGATCCAACGCTTGTTCTAAACGCGTAGTTGTACGGCGTTTCCCTCCCCCACTTAAAACGAGACATGCAGGGAGGGACTTGGACCTAATGTTGCTGCGTCGTCGAGCTCTCAAAGTAGCAGAGTCGCGCGCGCAACATCCTATCGATTTCACCGAGAGTGGAAGTGCAACTGAGGTGTTGGTAACCTGTTGCTCTTATTCTTCATCATCAGCCCAGTCAAGGTCAAACGCAAGTTGCCTATCCACGACTTGACATGTGGCTGCTGCGGTAGACTGTGATTCGTTGGACATCATTATCATCATTTTTCTTTTGATCTATTATTTTTGTAATGTTTTCAGTTATTTTATCTACTGATTCAATATTTTCATTCGATGAATCTACTTTTTGACATGTTTGTTGAAATGTCAGATTTAAATCTGGTCTAAAATCATTTCCCGCCAACAAATCATCAGTCATGAACTCTTCATCTAACGTAATGTCTTCACAGTTATTCGCCGATTTGATTATCTCATCATTAATGTTTTTAGGTTCTGAAATGTTAATGTCGGTACTTTCCCCATCCGACTGTGATTGTACTAAAGTCAGAGTGGGGTCTACCCGTTTTTTGGTCTCTTACTCGGGCAATCATTGCTATTATGTCCAGATTTACCCCAGTTGTAACACAAGCTTTTATCAGAAGATTTTGTGGCAAGAAAAGCATTAAATAGTCTATCCTGCTTAAAATTATTTATTTCAATATATTTATCAAGTAATAATTCTATATTTTTCAATGATTTTACAATTTCATTATTATGATGATTATTATTCGTATTATTACTAGTATGACGATTATTAGACTTACTAGTTATTGAAATAGAATTAATACTATCTTGTTGTTCATCTTCAGACTCTACTATTATTTCGTCTTCAATAACAACTTCATTGTCTTCAAGAGCAACTGCTTATAGATGACTTTGACTATTTGTTGATCTTGTATTATTATTATGTGTTTTGTTTTTATAGAATTACTTTTATTATTTGATGGTTTATGGTTATTTGCAGAAGTTGCTTCTGGCATTTTTCTATTTTTAGGTTTTCCAGTGACATTATCAGCATTAGAGTACATTATATTTTGCCTGTCAAATTCGCTAGCTAATTCGCACGCTTCTCGGTAATTTCTTTATGCAGTTATCGATCTATATTTACTTGATGGTAAGATTCCAGAAGTTATTATGCTGTAAATATCTTTTCATTCATTAATACCTTGTAGTTTTTCATACCAATATTTTCTATCTACGGGTAATTATTTAGTTTAACCTTCACCGGCCCAATGAGCTTGACCTTGAAATATGTAATCTTTGGGGTCATTCTGCGTAATATGATTTACATATAGTGGGCGCGGAAATGCTTCCTTTACATATTTTTTTTACGTTGAAATTGTGTATTTTCGTTGACTTGTGTTTTGCATAAATATAAATTTAATGCTATTAATTTCATTTTTCATACTTCTTGACGATTTATTCACATTCTTTAACACTACAAGAATATATCTACCCATTTATTTTCGATATTTCTTCTCGCTTTGTTTACATTCCTCAGCAGTATCGATAATTTATGGTATCAACTTAGCATCGTTTTTTTTTGCACATTCCTCAACGTGTTTCAAATCGTTCCTCTACTCATTATTCTATATGGACTCAAGTCCATGAGGTGCTACTAACTCTAATATTATCCTACAAAACTCCTGATTGATATGAACAATTTGTTATGCCCTTATACACGGTTTGGGAGGTGCTACTAACTCCCATACTATCCTACAAAACTCTTGGCAGACAGAGTATGTTTTTTATGCTTTCCGCGCCCAACAAATATACATATAATTGTTTAGCACAACAAGCTGCACCTCATATTTCAAGGTCAAGGTCATTGGGTCGGTGAAGGTTAAACTGAATAATTCCCGAAATTTGGATAAATGATTATGTGTCCTTGAGAGAAAGTTTTTGCGTGTCATCATTCATCACCATAAGGAAATATAACGGTCCACACAATGGTAGGGCACTAATGAGCTCATTCATAGCATGGCTTTTTTCCAATATATAATTTTTATAGTAAATGCGATTTCTCAAATATTGAACATTACGATCTCCTGAAAAAAACATTGTTACTGAACAAAAAACTACATTCTACTGTGTCTATTGAGGATGTTTTATACCCACTTAGGCGCTACTAATTTTTTTTCCGAATGTCATCACTTCTTGAATTAACCAATCGGAAACTGCCGAAGAGGGTAGTGTGCCACGATTTGTCAATGGAATAGCAAACAGTTTGTAGCAAAAAATACGAAACGCCTCTCTAGAAATGGTATCTTCAAAATTTAAAAATCCTTATAATATCTTCATGCACTCAGTTACTGACGCGTATGAAATTCGTTATTTGCACTTCTAACTTTTTTTCAGCTTTCTTGCAAGATCATGAAGTTATATTTTCGTTTGATTTATCGATTGTAAAGATTAAAATCAATCTTCGCAACATTTTACAAAAATACCGATCTCTTTTTAGACTTTTATCACTACCTACAAATGATTGAATCATACAATTTAAACGAAATTCATTATGTTTTTGTTTAGTCAGTAATACAGTAACATATTAATGCAAGAAATACAGTAATGCAAGATTGTTATCAGGCTATCACACGCTCTCCTTTTGGCTTAAACGATTGAAAATTACCTTAAAGTGGATCTTCTTGACCTGAAAAAGTAAGAATTAACAGAAAAATATACTTTCATTTTTAAATGTATGATCAGACATTTCGTAAATAGTTTGTATAAATATTTAAAAAAAAAAAATGACGATGAAGATTAATCAAAAATCAGCATAATATCGAAATTATTTTGTAACGCATTTGTAGATTGTCAGCAAAACGCTAAAAACGAATATCATTCTAAAGACTTATACATAAAAAAATTGGACAAATGATTTATGTGAAGATAGTAAAAGTTAATTGACGAAGGTAGACAAAAATTTATAATATAACTAAATATTGAGCCTGAAAACCCCAGCCTAAGAGCTAGAAAGTAAGGAGTACCTTCATCAAAATTGTCATTAGGTCCAGCATCAAACTGTGACTATCGAAGGTTTTAGACGTCCTTAGATTTTCATATCTTGAAAAATCAAGTAATGCTAATGCGTTCATAAAAATATGAAGTTGTCATTAGCAAGGTGTTTTTACAGGCCCAATGTTGGGAAGAAATTTTCTAAATCGCCTTGACAAATGATGAATCTCATATGTAATTACATGCAAGTTTTGAGGATTTTATTTTCGAAATTTGAACACGTAGTAGTTCAATACTGAACATACCAAACATTGTTATGCGTGACTTAAGATAGAAAATCGTTGACGTTTTTTCCAGTGCGATTTTTAATTTCAAATTTTGAGCATTCTTTGACTTTATCTTAGAAAAATGGTACTGCTTGTCTGACTTCTGTTGTGAATTCTAAATAAATAAATCATACGATATTAATAATAGTATTCCTGTTCTCGTTAAGTACTTAGTTTAAGAGCAGTGTGGATAGCCCCTATGCTGGAATGCATCAATTTTAGAGAAGTTGAAAAAAATTTTTTAAATGGTTTCCCCTAGAGATCGACTAGAGGAGCATTTGTGCCCAATGTCATGGTTTGGAAATGATCTTTACCATTATTCATCAACGATTAAAATTTGGCGTTCCGACAAAATGTGTCGTTAAACGCCGTATTAATTGATCAATATAAAAAAAATTTTCACTATGATTTTAATAATTTAAAAGAATTATGGAATGTTCGGATTCGTTTCCTGAACATTTTCTGGTTAAATTTTTTAACTTCCCAGTGGAAAGTTATAGTAATGGGTACGATTTTGCGAATCGCTAATTTTGACATATCTCCACGTTTGGAGATCCAATAATATGGAATTGTGTTCATAACAATTGAACATTGTTACTAACAAGTGATTATTGATCATAGTAATATTTAAATAATATTAAAAAAAAATGTTACCAACCGTATACCATAAATGAAAACATCCTTTTTTCGTTTATAACAATTGCATTTGTTGTAAATAATAAATTTGTTATAAATAATTAAGAAGAATCTTTGCGATATATATTGATATTTTTTCAACGCGTACACGAATATCGCACTTGGATTTCTAATGTACAAACAATACTTAACCATGAATATCTCTACCGCTAAATACAAAATCATAACATACTGTTTCGTTAATCAAAAAAGTCTACCAGTTCTTTTTAACTTATTCATAATTACTTATAACATAATGTTTGCTTAGTTAACGATTTATTTGGCAAAAAACCCAAATTTTTTTCAATAACACTTTGGTCAATTATTTATAATAAATTTAATTATATTTAATAGGAATTGTATATAAGGTTATCGTTTGTTACACGAAATTTAACAATGTTTCTACAATTAAAGGTTTTCTTTATTATTAAACAATAAGTACAAGCGTATAGTATTTAATTGGATATTTATAAGCAATATTGTAATATCGACACAGTGCCCGGTTGTAAATACCAGGTGTCAACAGTAAAAATAATTTGAAATTAAGCAACGCTTTTTTCTGTTCGTTTTAGAGGCATTTATCAATTATATACACTGAATATTGTTGTTTGATATTCTGATATGTCTTATGTTATGCTGATTATTTGAAACATTTCAGACGTCTACTTAAATACAGCTGCAATCCATGAAATGATTGGTGTTGTTAAGATCTTCATTAATTTCTTTCGTAGAGCGTACGTCCCCGATCTTTTAATGCGTAAACTACATCTGCCGTCACAGTTTTTGGCATGCTCGATGTAAGTTATTCCGTCACAAATCACATTTTCGAGGAATGCTTCCAAAATTCCACAAGTCTCTTCGTAGAGTAATCCAGAAATACGTTTAACATCACCTCGGATGGCGAAACGATTGATTGCAGGTTTCGTGATACGTTGGATGTTGTTATGAAGAACTTTTCAATGACGTTTTGCACGTCCTTTTCCTCCCTTTTCATGTTCATTAATAATGAATTACTAGAAGTTTTTTTTTAGTAACCTCGAAACAAGACAGAAAGACTAGTACTGAGGTTTGTTGAATAATTCACGAATAGAATAGAGAGTGTGGCGGTGCCAGAATCTTAGTCTGTTATCAATATTGTTTAGTCATTATAGAGTATCATTAGAGAAATTGTAACAATTTAGCGTATCTAATTTATAATTCGTATTCACTTCATGTCTTCATATTGTTTTTAATAACTTGAAGAAACTTACACTTTGTTTAGAAGTGTTCTAGAAGCAAATATTGCACTGTATATCATTGCTGTCGGAGATGGAATTGAAGTTGACTCGTCGGTATGCGTGAAGGAGTTCTCAATTAGTGAAGTAACGTTTTTCAACATCTACTTCCACTTTAAAATAAGATTTATCGAAAAAAAACAACAATAGCAGTATATAAATAGATATTGACCAATACGAATAAAGGGGAAAGGGATAAAATTTTTTAAAGAAACCTGTTGACAACATATATTTACAACCGTTCTTCTAATCTTCTTTTGTACCAGTGCTGGTGCTTCCTCGATGATAAGATAAACCTATAACAAAAATACAAAAAAAAAGTATTATGTATTTTGGACAAATTACTGGAAAATTTACGTTTTTCCAGTAATTCCAGTCTAGATTGTGTACAGTAGTAATTAGTGACTAGTAACTAGTAACTGTCAATTCATTCTAGAGTAGGCTTTCGCATTTATTTATTATCAATTTAAGGCCGTAAGAGCAGCCGTGAAGTTGTGTGCTCATTCTGCTACTATCTTGTGACATTATACTATTATTGTGTCATGGTTGTCTAGGATAATAAACAAAAACTAGTAGTGAATAGTAACTTGTGTATGGTAGTGAATGTTCAGTGATTACAAGCATACTATAAGTGGATTATTATTAAATATTATTGTTAAATTATTTTTCACATCCATGATTTGGAAAGGGTAATAATTTTTTATTCAGCAGCATTTTAACTATATGATTACACATAATTGGAACATTATATGGCATTCGGTTTTCTGGTTCTTTTTTATAACACAATAATGTTGCAAA